AAGTTGGCAAGCTGATTCTGGCTCTTGACACAGAGACAATGGACTTTGTGTAATATAAGGGGAGCAAAAAGACATTTTAGATATCCTTCATTGAGGGGACATACGGTAAAGCAACCTTCAAACCTGTGAAACTTGGATCCCCTAATCGGGAGGAAGTGTTTCTACTAACATACCATATTTGGATTGGGGAACTATATTCACAATGGACTATTCATTTAATTTGACCACAACAATATAAAAATTATTATGGAGGCACAAAGTGGTCCTTTCAGCCATAGGTTTGGTGCAGTAACATAAGATAACTTTCCAAAGACTTTCTGTAATAGTGTAAAATGTTGCAGAATGTTTTATTTTCATTCCTATTTCAGTCTTCCCTTTGGCTCCTATTCTGAGCTGTAATTCTGAGATTGTTAATTTGATGATTTTCTTGTGGGTTTTTAGACTGGAGAACCTTTTATTTATAATTATAATACTTTCAGGTCACAAATAATTGAAACTCTGTTATGGTAAAATTTTCACTATTACTAGTTTTTCAAAACATTTCTAACAACATGTGCACTTGTACTGGTTAAAGGGACAAAATACCAGGCCTAATTTCCTACAGATACATGTTTCTTAATACTTAAAAGTAAAATTTACTATATGTACTTAAAGTGCGGATAAGTAGAAAGTATTGTGAAAGGTAGAATTGAAAAATAATAATAGGATGTTGATATTGCAATGCATTGCATATTGCATTTCCCTGTATTGATGAGATTGTCAGTCCTAGATTCCTGCTTAAATTCTAGAGATTACCTCACCCACTAGTGCACCACCCATAAAGAGGCTATAAATCCTAATAGTGCTACAGGTAATGGAGGTTCTTGATTAGCTTAAATGTTAGGGCCTGTGTCTGTGCAAAAGAAATTCTGTCTTCTGACAACTATTAAGTTTATATGGTGTGCATAGATTCATAGATTTGAAGGCCAGAAAGAACCAATTAATCATCTAGTCCAACCTCCTGAATATCACAGGCTATTACTTTTTATCCACTTACTCCAGTATTGAGCCCAATAACTTGTTTGACTAAAGTGCATCTTCCAGAAAGGCAACCAGACTTGACTTGAAGACTCCAAGAGATGGAGAATCCACTACTTCCTTTAGTAGTTTGGTCCAGTGGTTAGTGCAACACCTGATACTGTAAGTGTCAAATCTGTGCAATCATTAAGTTATTACAACTGGTGATCAAATCTTACACATGAACTCCTGTAAAGCCCAGCTGTTTGAGGAAGAGCTTTGCCCGAATGAGGAAAGTGTATAGTGTATGTGTGTAATACTTTCTTCTCCTGGATGGAATATTAGATGTACTTAAGTAGTTGATTATGTTACTATAAGCAGTTTCTTCCTCCCATAACACTCCCTGGCAGCAAGTCGTGACATTGCAAGGGTCTTTACATCTCATGCTTCCTGCTGAGCCCTTCCTTGGTACCCATTCTGGCCTGTCCCTATCTGTGTCTTCTGTAGCCTGGCCCTCCAGCCAGGTCACTTATAAATTCAATCCCCTTCCAGAGTAACAAACATCCAAATGTAAATCTAAATAAATAGCCAAACTAATAATTCTTCTGCCCCTCTTGGGCTACACTGAAGAGACTCCTGCAGGGTTTCTCCTACATTGCTTATTCCTAACAGGTTTTCCACTACTGCCTCCCCTATCCAGTAGCCTCAGCAGCTTTCCTCAGGAATCTCCCTACATCCTACAGACCCAATCTCAGGGTCTCCCTCACAGGAGCCTAACCTGCTCCCTAGGGGGTTCTTCCAGCTTGAGATCACTAGGTCCTTCCCAGAAAAGGAACTCCCTTTGCTTCTCTCTCCTGGGTCACCTCTTCTAGGCTGTACTCACAGCTCTGAATAAGTCCTCTCTGATCCCCTGCAACTGGATCAATCATTATAATTAGATCTCCAACACACTCAGCTGGCAGGTAATTGTCTGGTCACAGACAAGGCAGTCACTCTCTGGCTGCTGACCTACCAAGGATGTAACCCATAAAACTAAGGAAGGTAATGGAGATTCTTTTTACCTGGGGTGGTAGGAGCCTGTGTTTTTGGAATAAGCTCTAAGGGTTGGGTTTTTTTTTATTTTCTTTGATGGTATTTTTTCAGCTAACCTTCTCAAAAAAAATTTGAATTTAGATTTCATCTCTAACCTTTCATAAGAGATTTAAATTCCAGGACAAAAAATTGAAATTTGCAAAATAAAGTATTTTATACAGTCTAGAAGCTGGGAAGATGGGTATGAAACAAAAACCCATTGAATTTTTCCTCTCTTCTCTTTGCACCATACACAGCAAAAGAAATGCTAACAGCCATCCAAAGGCAACCAAAAGTCAAAAATACACATGATGTAGTAATACTGAATTTACACCATTTTTTTTTCTTGTGGAATAAAAAGCTCAGTTTTCTAGTGATTTTGAAAATGTGAAGATGGATAACTTAAGGTTCTTTTTAAAATATCAGCCAATGCAGAACCTGTTATTAGTGAGTTTAGGACTTCTCAGTGGGTGGGTTGTGACCTGGAAATGAGTCATCAGAATTGCACTTCAAGGGTTTCAAACCTAATACTTAGTTCACTGAACCACCCTGCTTGCTCATCAATCATTGATGGCTGATATGAGAATAAATACGTATATAGTAATTAAAACTAGCCCTTAGGTGATCAGATACCAGGGAGATGAGCCTGAATAGACAGGAACCAGATATTCCTGTCCTGGAAAACTGTCCATTACCAGAATATACCAAGAACTGTGTGATTTATATGGACCTGAAAGAAATTGCTGCTGCCCCACCGATGTAAGAAAATAACTCATCCAGGTTACATGTTTTGGAATGTCTAGTCCAGGGACAGCAAAGTTTGGGAATGTTCTCAGTTTGTTTCAGCTTTTTCGCGTCTTCAGTGTTTGTAACCTATTCAAAAGGTTTCTGGTAACTGAAAATGATACACTGAGTTAATGATGATATGTAGCACTCTGTCTAGCTTATATGGCCTGTGGAACCATATAGTATCTGGATCTCTCACAATTTTTATCCCCACAACACTCCTGTGAAGTACTATTCTTCTTATAGGTGGGGAACTCATACTCACTGACTTGCCCAAGCAGAGCAGAGGCTGCTCAAGACAATCTGCCGCCTAGGCACAACTTCAGTGTGTTGCCTCTATCCCCACCCCATCTCCTTAGAAGCTCAGGGCAGAGACCAGAAAACCTCCCCCAGCCTCCTCCACCACTAGAACCAGCTGCTCAGCTCAACCAAAACCGGACATGGGCATCCCCTGGAACTCCACACCCCCATCCCATCCCTTCTGCCTGGCCCCTTGTGCTCTACAGCCTCAGCCTAGCCCCCCACAATCTGCACCCCCTGCCTGGTCCCAGCAACTCCTGCAACCCAAATGCCCCCCCCCCCTTTTTGGATGATCCTGCAGTTATGAACATAGCATGGAACAGCCACAATGTGAATCTAGAGTGGTGGCAAATGACTGGGGCAGCAGCAGGGTCCCTGGGGGCTGGGCACAGAATAGCAGGTACAGGCGGAGTGTGGAGATGAAGCCGGGGGGGCAGCTCTGCTTGTGGCCAAAGCCCTGGCAGCACTCATGCCACCAGGAGGAGCCCTGAGCTGCTCAGTGCCTGAGTCGTGGCTGTGATCTTACCCATGCTGGGGGCAGGAGTGCTTCCCCAGCAGCCTAGCTAAGGGCTGCTTCCTGCTCCTCAGAGCTCCAGCTGGCAGCAAACCTCTCACGTGGGCAGCCCTGTCAGCCTCATCCCCCAGCGCCACCGCTGACCATGGAAAGAGATGGGAAAAGTTCCAAAATTTGCTGCCCTAGGCAGCTGCCTAAGCTTGCCTATGCCTAGAACGGGCTCTGCCCAAGGTCACACAGGAAATTTGTGGCAAAGCAGGGAATGGCACTTAGTTCTCCCAAACCCAGGCTAGCATCCTTACTACTGGACCATCATCCTCTGTGCATGGTCTGGATCTTAACCAGTATAGTTTGTCAACTGAGAAACCTCCCCCATAAAGCCACAATCACCTCATGTGACCCAGTCACTAGAGGGGGACAAATACCCACACACTCCTAGTGTGGATTACTTACATGCTTTTACCCACTCAGTAGTCCCTTTCACTTCCATTGAACTATGTGGGTGTGCAAAGGTAAGCACATGCACAGCTGTCTGCAGACTCAGGGCCATAGCCACCTGCTTGAGTACAAAAGAACAGAGGGGAGAAGGGAATATAAATGTGTGACAATTAAGACACTAGACTTTCCTCTCAATTTTGGCTACTAGATAAATATTGCAATACAATTCCTAATTTCTATCAGCTCGTGTTTCTTCAATATGAAATGCTTTTGAACTAAAGGACAGTACATACCGATCACTTCTACCTGACAAAACTACTTTTAAACCGGAGAAAACTCATTCAGGCAGTGCCATGTGGCAGGAGCTGTATTTTTTATCTTGTATTTCATATTCATCAATCAGTAGAAATCTCGGAGCTCCATGATATCCCCAGGCAAGATGGGCTCAAACGGATAGCTTTTATTCACCCCCCCTCCAACCGCACTAACACTGGGTGGGATCTGAACCTCGTGGAAGTTTTGTGAGGTTAAACCCACCCTGATCCACCCACTACCGATTTCCCCAAGACGGAGACAATCTAGGATCTCCCCTCACGCCCCCAAAGGACCATCCCTCAGGCTGGTTTTCCAAAGCCGCTGCGGACCAGCTGTGCAATCGCAGCCCGAGTCCAGTCCCGGTGCGTGTTGCCTGCAGGCAGGGGCCGAGCTAGCTCTGTTGCACCTGCACGCGGGCAGGCCGGCGGCTGCAGCCCGGGGAGCGCGGCGCAGGAGGCGCTGGCCCAGCAGGGGTCACTGCTACCTCAGCGCTTGGCGCTGCTAGGGCCGGGCAGGGCAACCGGAGCAGTCGGGCGGAGAGGCTGCGCCCGTAGCGCAGGGGCTAGAGCAGCCGTCCTACTGCCCCTCCCGGCACTGGCCGTCACCATCGCCCCTGGAGACGGACACAGCTGAGCTGGGGCCAGGAGCCGGCCCGGGAGAGGAGCAGAGAGCGGCGGCTGCCGGCGGGTCTGGCCACAACGTGGCTGCGCGCTCGCTGCTCCCCGTCAGCAGCCCCCAGCCCCGGCGGGCACCGCGATGCTGCTGGAGGGCTGAGGCGGTGGCGGCTGCTCCAGTCCCGGGCCGGCCGGCAGGGACGCGCTCCTGGGGCGGCTGCTTCTCCAGCCCCCGGGACATGCTGCTGCTGGGACTGGAGCCGAGGAGAGCAGGGCAAGTCACCGCCCCGGCAGGCGCGGAGAAGAGGCGGCCGCGGCGCCCCCCGGCCCATCCTGGGCCATTTGGGCTTTGCAGAATCCGAGTGCGGGCAGTTGCCGGGGGCAGGTGGAGCCGCGCCCGCCCGGTGTGTGAGGCGCTGTCTGGCCCTGGGGAGTTCGCATGGGGGGTAAGGGAGCGCTAAGGACAGAGCCGCTGCGCGAAGGGCGCCCCGAAGCCCCAGCCGCTCTTCCTAGCAGCAGCTCGCACGTGCGGCGCACAGGACGCGGGGGAGCAGCAGCAGTAGGGTGGCGGCGCTGGGGCTCTCTCCGCTCTGCTCAGTAGGAGGAGGGGCAGGAAGGCGAGAGCCGGCTGGGTCGGGCGGAGAAGCGAAGCGGGGTACTTCTGCACATGGCCCCGCGACATGAGCTGCCCGCCAGCGGCTCTCCTTTCCGCCTAGGTAACTCGCCCCTCTTTCTCTGCCCCCCCCCCGTAAGGCAGGGGAGGGGGTGGGTCTGTGGCTCTCCCCTGCCTTGCTGTGCTCTCGTTCTGCACAAAAGAGCAGCCTCAGAAATGGGGTGGGAGTGGGAATGTGGCAAATGATTAACCCGGAGACACGGTGAGAACAGGTACGGAGAACAGTGGGTGCTAATACGGCCCATGTGCACAGAGGTTTAAAGAACAGAGAGGAGACTGACACCCTGTGCTGTACCTTGGCACGTGGGACCTGGGCAGGGACTGCGCGCTCCTGGCCCATTGCAATGTGATTTTTCTTTCCCACAGGGCAGCGGAAGGAGCTTCCAACCCCCCCGGCCTTGCTGAAGACTTTTGCAGGATGCCCAGGGAGGAGTTGTCCCTTAGTGTTTAGTTCACCATCTTTATAGCAACTGGATACTCAGCTTGCCAACATCCAAGAAGTACCCGCACGCCTGCATCCCCTAGGATCATTCTGTTGCATTGGGACTGCTGAGCTGAATACATTTCTTGTTCATTAGCGGTGGCGTTAATTAAACGCGCTGCTTCTCCCCCTTCTGGAGCTTGGGGTCGCCTTTATCTATCGTTCCCATTTCCCCCAGACATCAAAGCAGTGATGGGTTGTTTCTGTGCTGTCCCCGAGGAATTTTATTGTGAGGTTTTGCTTCTGGATGAATCCAAGTTGACCCTAACCACCCAACAGCAGGGGATAAAGGTAAGCACAGGCTGTGTTGTTTTCATTAGGGTTACCCAGGCACTTGTCAATAATGTTTGAAATGCTTTGTCTAAAGCCCAGCAGTAGGGGGGTAAATTCTGCTTGGGAACGTGCTGTTCCAGACTGGTTATCAATGCCCACTGCTAATTACCGTGAAATGGAGGGGTTATGTACTTTAATTAATATTTGGTTAACTGAAAAGAAGTTTGAATAGTGAATACTTTTTAAAAAACCCCAAAAGGTGAAAATCATTCCATAACTTTAATCCTCAGTTACTCCATTGACAGAAATTCACCACAAAAGCATGTGTTAACGATGTGGGGCCTTCTAAAAGATTTGCTAGAGTTAATTTCTTAAGGCTAAATGGGTTATTTTATGGCATACACTTGTTTGAACAGATTCCAGCTGTTCTGAAGGACTCATGACTCTGTGTATTAGATATTTATTACATAAAAAAACCAAGAGCTCAAAGTCCATTGCTCAAGAGTTAGAAAATACCAGAATTAAGGCTGCCTTTGCAACTTTAATTTGTCCCCTTGTGCATGTGCCCTATGATAAAATGTTTAACTATGACCATATACTATTTTTTCCACAGTACAGAATAATTGGTGCTCTGGGAATTAATGAGGGTTGTGTGGTGAATGAGTCTGTAGTCTGTAAGATCCCTGCCTCAGTTGTTGCAGAAGCTGAAAGGTGTGTGCTATTTTTGGGGACTAGGGCAGATACCCATTCCCTGCCAGATGCCCATCCCCTCCACCAAGCAGGAGGAGCCATTGGACTCAGGCTGCCAAGTGAGTACTGGGGACAATACATGAAAAAACAGACATGGAAGTGAAGGTTAAAAGTTAAAAACTGGGAATTCAGAGTGAGAGCTGAAAGGTGTGCGCCTGTTGTGGTTGTTGGGAGATGGTGAGCCTAAACCCTCCCAAAGCTAAATGCCCCGCCCTGCCATTAAACCCAGGCTACAAGCAAATTCCAGGGACAAGAAATGAAAAAATCAAGGATGAGATGGAGGTAAGAAGTTAAAAATCAGGGAACTGGAGAGGGACACCAAGCAGAGAACCCCTGACAGAGCCCATGACTCCTCTAAGCCTGACTAAGGAGTCAATGGACACCACCCAGAGCAACTTTACTTGGAGGCATGACTTAACAAAGGAATGGAAATAGGCTTCACAGTCTCAGAGCACCCCTCAGCCCCTGATGCAGCTTCATCCTCCTGGAGTGATGGATGGCCATGTAGGACAGTGCCAGGAGGAGGTTGACGAGGAGGTCCTGTGACTTTGTGGGGCAACTGATGGGATGTGTGTAAATGAGGAGGTGCAGGGAAAAGTACCGCCAGAACCTCAGTGAGAAGTTCTGGAGGAGCCAGAAGAAGGCTGATGCACTCTACATAGATGTACAGCAGGGTCTCCCTCTCACCCCAGAAAGGACAGGTCTCAGGGGAGTTTGTGAACTGCACCAGGTACACGCCTGTGCTCACGGCTCCATTGGTGAGCCACCAACTGGTATTCATGGGCCATGAGATCAGAATGGAGTACAGCCTGGCCCAGTGGGGTTTGTTGCTCTCCTCAGGTGGCAGCAGGTCCCACTACTTTGGGTCAGGGTGGGACACGGGCAAGGAAGTGTATTGGGCAACCTTAAGCAAAGGCAGCACTACCAGCTCCACCTATAATTACATAGAGATGTATTACCAAGATTTTCAAAACTGTGTGCCTGAAATTAGGCTAATAAATCCATATTTAGTTGAATACCAAGCAATTTCCAGTGACATTTGACTTCAGTGTTCAAATATGGATTTAGAAATCTAAATTTAGGCATGCAGTTTTGAAAATTTTGATATAGTTTATTATAATATATGTTAAATTACATATATGGTTGCTTGTAAACACAGAGACTCGGAGATATAAAAGGAGTATCCTACAGAGAGATGGCATAGAACACAGGACTGGAAGGGACCTGTTGGATCATCAAGTCCAGTCCCCTGCTACTACAGGCAACCCCATCATATAATCCCATTCATAGAATTATCAAGATCCACCCTAAAACTAATTAGGTTGTTTCCCCCCCATTACTCCTATCGGAACGCTGTTCCAGAATCACAGAAATGTAGGACTGGAAGGGACCTTGATAGGTCATCTAGTCCAGTCCCCTGCACTGAGCGGAACTAAGTATTATCTAGACCAGTGATTCTCAAATTGTGGGTTGAGACCCCAAAGTAGGTCGCGACCACTTTTGAATGGGGTTGCCAGGGCTGGCTTAGACTTGTTGGGGCCCAGGGCTGAAGTCAAAGCCTGAGGGCTTCAGCCCTGTGTGTCAGGGCTCAGGTTGCAGGCCCCCTACCTGGGGCTGAAGCTCTTGAGCTTCAGCTTTGGCCCCCCTGCCCAGAGCTGTGGGGCTTGGGTTTTGGACCTCCTACCAGGGGCAGTGGGGCTCGGGTGGGCTCAGGCTTTGGTCCCCACTCCTGGGGTCGTGAAGTAATGTCTGTTGTCCGAAGGGGTTGTGATGCAATGAAGTTTGAGAACCCCTGATCGAGACCAGTGGTTTTCAACCTTTTTTTCATTTGTGAATGCCTAAAAAATTTTAAGGTATGAACTCCTTTGGAAATCCTAGACAGAGTCTATGGACCCCCGGTTGAAAACCATTGATTTAGACCATTGCTGATAGTGGCCTGTCTAATCTTTTCTTAAAAACCTTCAATGACAGAGATTCCATAACCTCCCTAGGTAATTTGTGCCAGTTCTTAACTACCCTTTTAGGTAGGAAGTTTTTCCTAATGTCTAAACAAAATCTCTCTTGCTGCAATTTAAGCCCATTACTACTTGTCCTGTTCTCAGTGGTTAAGGAGAACAATTTATCACCCTCCTCTTTATAACAACCTTTTATGTACTTGAAGACTATTATCAGGTCCCCCCCCAGTCTTCTTTTCTCCAGACTAAACAAACCCAATTTTTAAATCTTTCCTTGTATTTTCTAGCCCATTAATCATTTTTGTTGCTCTCCTCTGGACTTTCTCCAGTTTGTCCACATCTTTTCCTAAGTGTGGTGCCCAGAACTTGACACAGTATTCCAGCTGAGGCCTTATCAGTGCTGAGTAAAGTGGAAGAATTACTTCTGGGATCTTGCTTAGAACACTCCTACTAATACCTGACTCCTCTGATGTAGAACCCTTCTAATTTCCAGCCTAAATTTATTCATGACCAGTTAACACTTGTTTGTTCTTTTGCCAACATTGTTCTTTAGTTTAAATAGCATTTTTCTCTTCCTGGTATTTTATACCCTCCCTCTCATCCAGGTATTTATAGAGAGCAATCATATCTCCCCTCAGCCTTCATTTTGCTATGCCAAACAAGCAAAGCTTTTTAGTCTCCTCTCATAAGATAGTCTGTCCTCAGCCAATTTCTGTTTCAGCAGTTAGCACGCTCCTACTTTTTGTTTCGTGGTTATTAGTGCAAATATTAAATCTTGGTGCCCAATCTGAGCCTAGAGGAACTCTATGAATAACCTCCCTCACTTCCTATGAGTAATTTCATAGACCCTCCCAATCCTGAAAGGGCACTGGTATGTGTGGGTCCTTATGCCTACATAGTTCCTGTTGAACTCAGGACTCCACATGAAAATAAGAGCCCACATGCAAATCTTTTTCAGGGTTGGAGCCATATGGAGTTCAGTGAAAGGAATGGTCTGTTTTAACTTATTCTAACCATAGATTTCCATTTACAATAAGTTTTGTAATTATTTCTCTGTAACACAGGTCTTTGTTGATAATACGTTATTTGACATTTTAACCTTGAAATAAGCAGGTTTACTAATATTTTACCAGCTGAAAGTTCGAACTGACTCATTAACTTTACTTCTATATCATTAAAGTATTTTTCATGTTAGTGACTTTATTTGTATGTATACATTTAGAGATCCAGGGATTAGTTTGGTTTACTTTGTTTTATGATAATATTTCTGTTTTGGCATAAGGTACAGGTTGTAAGCCTTTCTATTTATCTTTTTGCTCTGTATCAAAGCTTCTGTTGGAGCGTCACATCATGGATCTACCCTCTCCTCTGCGCTCATTCTTTTAATTAGGTCTAATGATGTGTGGGTGTGGGGGGAATGTCTCAAGTACTGTTTAACAAACCTTGAACTGCCCAAGAAGAAGGGAAAACTCTTAAGTGTTGATAAAAATAGTTAATTTTTATAAATAATAGTTAATCCTAGACAATTTGGTGGTGTCTCCAATGAATCTGAACTGGGTATTTGATTTAGTATTTATGTATATTTTTGAAAATACCTCAAAGGATAAATGTAAGCTTTTCAAGACATTTCCACACCTGAGGAACTGTCCCAGATTGAAGTATGAATAGAGGTCAGATATGAAATTGGAGAACTACTAAGTGTGGTATGTAACCCACAGCTTAAGTCAGCCTCTGTATCAGATGACTGGAGGATAGCTAATGTAACGCCAATTTTTAAAAAGGATCCAGAAATAATCTTGGCAATTACAGACCAGTAAGCCTAACTTCAGTACTAGACAAATTGATAATTCTGTTCTTTACTGTAGTTTCTATCAGATATATATAAAGGGAAGTCATGCCTCACAGATCTATTAGAATTCTTTGCAGGTGTCAACAACAAGCATGTGGACAAGGGTGGTCCAGCTGATGTGGTGAACTTAGACTTTCAGAAAGCCTTTGACAAGGCTTATTCAGAGTAAGCAGTCATGGGATAAAAGGAAAGGTCCAACTATATGTACAAAATGCTGGGGTCTAAATTAGCTATTACCAGTCAAGAAAGAGATCTTGGAGTTATTGTGGACAGTTCTCTGAAAACATCTACTCAATGTGCAGTAGCTGTCAAAAAAGCTAACAGAATGTTAGGAACCATGAGGAAAGGGATAGGTAAGACAGAAAATATCATAATGCTATTATATCTATCCATGGTGTGCCCACACCTTGAATAGTGCCTGCAGTTCTGTTCACCCCATCTCAAAAAAGATATATTAGAATTGG